TGAGAGAGAGAGAGAGAGAGAGAGAGAGAGAGAGAGAGAGAGAGAGAGAGAGAGAAGCAGCCAAGAGAGAAATAAAATTGCAGTGCAGACAAGAGAAGGCATGCTTTTTTAAATCCTGATCCAAGAAAAGCAGATCAATCATTCTGCAGTTGCTGTTGCACTCAAAACTGAATGGTTCTGCTTTCTACTTGAGTTTCATGGGGGGAAATGTAAAAGTATCTGGGGCTGGATGACAGATGAGTGGACTGTTTGCCCATCCCTTCCATACCTGCAGGTCCTCATAACTTTCCCTAATTGGGGGTGGAGAAATTGGTTCTCTAATTAGTTCAGTTCCAACATAAGGCTGCAACTCGCTGTCCAAGATCCAGCCTGAGTGAATGCAATGCAGCATTGTGAGATCAAACTGCCTGTCTCTACCACTCAAGTGGAAAGACACTGGTAAAATGCGTGAATATTGAATTTTGGTGGTGCTTATTCTTTGAGCTTGAAGTCTGGTCAACACTTGTGGCAGAACAAAGTAGAACACTGAAGTGAGGAAAGGAAGAATTCTGAGCCCAGGAATTCCGGAGTACCAGAACTGAAGGCCACTCAAGTTCTCATATACAAACCTTCTGGGTTTCTCTTCCAAGTATTCTTCAGCTGGATAATGTTGCTCTGCAAAGTCTGCTTTACAATGCATACTGAGCCCCTAACAGTCCATTTGCTTCTTGCGGGGACTATTTAATTCAACATTCAAAATGTGACTCATCCTGTCCGAAGTGATCCTGGGCTGTTCTGTCCTCTGCATACTCAGTCAACCTGTCTGTAGATCTGTTCTGCTTCATACGGAGCAGTCTGTTCTGCTTCAGTCTTGTATAGGTATTTAATGGCACAACCTTATGCATGCTTAGACTGATCCGGAGTGCTGCAACTCCTAGCATTCCCCAGCCAGCCCCATATGCTATGTAGGGAACACTGGGAGTTGCAGGATTCTGCAAGCTGGCTAGAGATGCATAGGGTTGCATCCTAGGACTGTGCATGCCTGTGCAAAGGCTGCTGGGAGAAAGGGACACCAGTCGATACACACAACACGGCAGCAAATATGCAAAAGCATCCTGGGGATAGTTAAAAAACGTTCATGGGCTACAGACACGCTTTACTTTTGCATCCACCCTGCCATAACAGCTGCACCCGGGATTAGTCCATGAAGCCGACAGACGGGCAATTTGGAACAGATACAGAGGAAGTACATCTTCACCCAGAGTGTAGTTAAACTATGAAAGTCACATAGGATGTGGTGAAGACCATCCCTTTGGTGGACTTCAAAGGGGGACTGGACGAATTCATGGAGGAAAAGGTTATCAGTGGCTCCCATTCCTGATGGCTATATGCTACTCCAGTCTCAGGAGTACAACTCTGTATGCCAGTCGCTGTGGAGCATGGGTGAGGGAGTGCCTTTGCGCTCATGTCCAACTCGTGGGCTTTCCACTGGTGGTTGGTCGGCTTCTGTGGTTGGTCAGAACGCTGGACTAGTGGAACCCTTCATCTGATCCAACTTGGCTATTATGTTCTTATTTTGTTTTATTAGCAAGCAAATGAGTCCAGGTTTCTGTGCTACTGACTCCTTCTTTGACTACATCCAACACCAGCGGGTGTCACTGAATTGTCTGAATAGGCAAGAGCAATTCTTCCCAACTGATGAGTTGCTCATAAAAAATGTAAGGACAATTAGAAACGCCAAAGGTCCACTCCATGCACATGGCTGCAAGCCACAGGATCCTGCAGGCTGCATGAGGACAAGACCTCCTCCTGCCCAAGCTCCTCAGCAACTGGGGTTTGCAGGGATGCCTCCTTTGGGAAAGGAGGTAGCACATAGCCAGCAAGGCTGGTAGCCAGGGATACCCTCTTCTCTCACGAATCTGTCCAGTTCCCTTCAAAAGCCATTTAATTTGGTGGCCATCACCACTTCCCACGGCAGCCAATTTTGTAGCTTATGCATGGTGTGAAGAAGTACTTCCTTTTACCTGCCCAGAGCTGCCCAGCAAAAACGAAGGAAGACCTGCTTAACTGCTTTTACTCAGCATTAAAGCTTTCTCCCTTCAGTGGTGTTTCCTCCCAGTGCCTAACATACAGCCTTAGTCCTAAATAAACCTCCTACTGGGCTTGATCTGAATAAACACGGTGTGGATCAGGCTGCAAGAATCCCTGCCACAGCACCAGTGGGATCAAAAAGTAGATAGAAATTAGTACCAAAACTGGTTCTGGCTAAAATCTCTTCCAGGAGCTTGTTCGTTCCTCGTTCTCCCCAGCCCAGTCTGCTTAGTACAGTTTGCTGAGTGACTCGAACTCAGTCACTAAGGAATAAGTTCCCCCTCCCACCTCTGCCCAGCCAGGCGGACAGGCAGTATTTATGCTTCTTCTCAGGTCCACTGGAGCTGCCCTTGGTTGAGTGCGGCTTCCTTGCACCATGGCCCTTTAGCCATCACCAAGAACCGAGAACTTTCTCCTCTAAGGCTGGCCGCTTTGGCAATGCACCCCAGAACCAAGTTGCCATTGAAGAAAGTGGGGGGCCCTGAAAGGAAGCGGCCAAGTGCTTTCCCACAGACGAACAAGGCCACTGGGAGGGTTTACGCAGGAGTAAGCGCTAAGACAATTGGAGCCCATGTAAAAGGGGGCTGCGCTTGCGAGGGGCGTTACTCGCCCATTCGGCCAGCGGGGACTTGACTCCCAGCCTCGCCCCCTTGCAGCCTCCGCGTGCGCTGATCCGGTGGGGAGCGCGCGTGGAAAGGAAGGACTCAGGCGGAGTCCGGAAAAGCCTCCCCTCCTTGGACTGCGCTTCCCGCTTCAGTACCCATCGTCCCCAGCCATCGGCCGCGCTAGCTGGGATGTGTGGGAGGGGGCACCCCCCCCCCCGGCTGGCACCGGAAGACAGCGGGAGCGATCCGGGCCTGACATGCTGGTTGCGCGGGCGTGCCTCGCCTCTCCCGGGGCCACGGGGCTCAAGGGACTCCCGAAGGCTTTTTCGGAGCCAAGCTCGCCGAGTAGGCCGCCTGCTGCGCCGATCCTCTCCGAGCACTTCCATGGGAACCATGCAGGGGAGCTCTTCCTGGAGGGTTCTTCCCAGCAGGGGAGGAGTCCGTCAGGATCGCGGTGCGCCTTGGAACGGGTGCCCTAGAAATCCGGGGATCCCAGGCTTGATCACTGATGCCATGGGCTTCGGGTAGCCTGACTCAGGCCGCACGAGTCGCACTGCGCCGGCTCCAAGCACGGGCGCATTCGGATCCATCCCGAAGGATGCGCCCTCCTCATAGGCGCCCTCCTCGGCGCGTTGTGGAAGAGCGGATCTCTCCTAGGATTGCGGCCGGAGCGGCACTGGCAAAACCCGCTCGGCTCAGCGGGGATCCCTTCCGAGGGTACCGACTGAGGCGGGGCTGCTCCCGTGCCCGTGTTCATCATACAGTTTACGGCGCGATCCTAGACCTACCTACTTGGAGGTTAGCCCCGCTGAATTTCTGGAGAACAGCACTGTGGCCATAACACCTCCGCAGCGCTCCTGCGCCCTCTCAGTCCCCATCCTCGCTGGAGATCGTGCGGGCGGCTCCGGCTATCCCAGGGGCCGCGGCGGAATCGCAGGGCCCCCGCGGCTAAGCCCGGCCTCGGCAAGGTTTTCTCTTTCTTCGTGCAGGGAATGAGAGGCAGCGCGATTTAGGCTATAAACTCGGGGTCGGCTTATGGACCAGGCGGGGCAGGGTGGCCACTGGGGAGGCCTGGGCCCGATCCAAGCAAAGTCACGTACTCATACAGGGCAATCCTGGGCCTGCTCAGGTTTAACACTGGGAGCTGAATGGGTCTTACTCCCGGAAGGGTGCCAAACGGTCCCGTGCACACAGTGGCGAATTAGGATCGTCTGTATCCGCCCTTCGTAGAGAGGAAAGGACTTTCCACGGAGACGTGCTGCCTTTGCCTTTAGACCAGGAGACCTCCCCAAGGTACAGTCTTATAAACCGGTTGCCCGGTGGCCTGCTCATTTCGGGGGCCGGTACTGAGAGTGGCCAAGTCCGGGTCCAAACCAGGGGCAGCCACTGCTACGGATCTCCTCTGAGTCTTGGACACTTTCTCTTTAGATCGCAGTCCTGGGCAGCGCCTACTCAGAGCTACTGGAATGAGCAGCTTAAGCAAGGGCTGCAAATCAGTGGAACTAAAA